ATGTGATCGATTTTTCGTTAATGATCTTCTGAACCATGTCATTCCACCGCCAAGTTTACTTATCGAAGTTTCTTTTTCCTCTAGATTCTTCTAAAACTTCTTTTGCCACGTTCTTGATACATTCAACCATCTCATTTCATTTTACATTGACATCATGTTCAGAGTTCTATTTTCCTTCTTCAACTAATTTATCCCTAAATAATTCTATTTTCTCATTTTTTAAAATTCCACCACCTAGTTCTTAGATGCTCATTACTTTCACCTTTGTTGCTCCATGTCTTTATGCAGACATCCATGACACGAGCCTATGTTGGGTAGTCAAACTCTCTCCTGGGATAACCTTGCAGTCTTTACATGATAGTTGATCTACCTTCTTAACTAGGAAGAGTTCTATCTAGCTTTTATGTGTTCTTCTTTTTAATGTAAGTGTTTGTTATTGCTAGACCATAACAAAATCTATAATAGTCTCACCCATCTCGTTTCTTTCCCCAAACCCATATCCCCCATGTACTCCTTTTTATCCTCTTCTATCCTTCCCTAGATGACCATTTAAGTCCCGTCCTAAAAAGGTCCTCTCTCCATTTGGTATGTCTTAGACTATTCCATCTATGTCCTCCTAAAATTGTCTCTTAATTCTATCGTCTAATTCTACTTGTGGTGCATAAGCGCTAATTATGTTAATTATCTTTTCTCGTAATACGAGTTTAATATACCTATTTTTTTAACATTAACAACTTTATCTTTGAAAATATTTATCTATTATTATGCCTACGCTATTTCTATTATGATCATTTCTTGTATACCATAGTTTATACCCATCTATTTCTTTAGCTTTTTCTCCTTTCGATTTAGTTTCTTGTAGACAAGCTATGTTTACTCTCCTTCGTCTCATTGTATCCACTAACTCCATACTCTTACCTGTAAGCATGCCTACCTTCCTTGTGGCTAAACGAATCCTATTCTCTTGGACTAGCTTTTTACTCGTGCTCGTTCAGGATGTTGTGGGAACCCTTGCCTATTTTCATCGCAACCGGGCGGCTCTGGAGTACATCGCTTCTGGAGAATGCCCTAGCTAACCCTTGTTGATTTCTCACTGTACCCAGGGTCCGGTACAACGCGTCGCTTTTGGGACGCCCTAGCACTCCTATTCTAGGTAAATTATACAAATTCTTCAAAGGTCCTCCTCTCCCTTTGAGAGGATAAATTTTATAATTTTGAGATGACATTTGATGAATGAAAAAAATTATTTACCTTTCCAAATAGTGTAAATTTGTTGTCCTTAAAGATGCCATAATTTATTAAGAAAAATTAAAGATTGAGAATGCTATATGATAGGTCATTACTATAACTTGGCAATCCATTTGTGCTAGCCGTGCAATCATGTTGTACCTCCTAAACTATTTTAATTGAGCCCATTACCCATATAGATTCAGTTGAGATGCAGATGCATTATGGGGTTGCGTATGGTTTTTAGGTGTCCCTGAGGACCCCCAAAGCTGCCCTGCTTCTAGGGGACTAAATAATATGTTAGATCTGCCACTGCAGTTGCCTGCTTATAAGGGAGTTGATAATAATAGCATATTTGACCCTACGACTGTTGATACTATGGGGTTTAACATTATATCAGCTATGTCCCTATAGCTGCTTGCTGCTAGGGGATTTAATATTATGCCAATAATAAATCGCTTTCAAACTCTTCATTTACTGGGGCCTTACTTATAAGATCCTATATAGAAGAATAATTGGTTACATAGTTTTAAAAAGCGGACCGCCCATTGCCTAAGCGGCTGCCTAGGCGGTCCAGAAGGCTTGGGTGCATTGCCCCGGCCCTAGGCGGCCAAACTAGGCGGATGTCCCTGGGCGCTCGGGAACCCGCCTAGTCGCCCACTTGAACGCGCCTAGGCGGCTGCCCAGGGCCTGTGCCCCGCCTAGGGACAGAAATGCGGCTCCGTGAAGGTATTTTTGGGTTATTTTTTTAATACTAAAGGGGAAAAATTGTGGGTTTTAGGTTTATTTGAAACTTAAAAGCCATTAGACGTTATTTTAGAGAGAAAAAAAAAAAAACAAAATTTACTAGGCCGCCCTCCCAAGTTTTGAGAAACACTGATTGGTTACATGTAATGGGAGGACCTTTGGCAACGTAGGATATAGACATTAGTTGTTTCATAATGAAAAATGTTTTTAAGGTGTGGATCACAAGGTTTTATTTAGTGCTTAAGGGATTTTGTAGATTCTTGGTGACATGTGCTATTTGGGCATGAGCTTCCTCTTTTCGGGCATGAGTGATATGGGTATTAGTATGCAAAGTATCTATATTTCACTACCTCTCAAACTTTCCCTGATCTCTTGGGTATTAGAAACATTTGCCTAGTCCAAAATGAGTCATGGTTATCTACATGATACAAAAACTACCCAATGGTCTACTTCATAGTTACGGTGGTGATCACTTTACGATTTTGTACATCGTGTTGTTGATGCGATTGTTGCATGCCAAAATATGAAAACTATGGAAAACATTTATATAAGTGCGAGGCTCTAAACAATCAAATTGGGGTGCAGCTCAAAAAGTTTAGTAGAAGAGGTTGTTTTGATGCTTAAATATCCTCAAATTGATCATCTCGACCTTAAGATGCATGGGCATGACAAAAAAAATTGATTTCAAGTTTTGGAAATAGTGCATCTTGTAATATATATTTGTACCGTCAATTTTCAAGATTTTTATAGATTTGCTCGATCTAAACTATTTTTGAAGCTTTAAATTTTATAACTAGAGATGATAACCTATTTTAAGGCTATGACAATGATTATCAGTATTGAAACCACATTTCTCTATACTATTTGAAGGTGCGATTTACTTTGATTGTTTAGAGCCTCGACACTATACAAATTGCACCCAAAACCTATTGGTTCTGTTAAAGCGTAGCCAGGGAATTTGAAATGGAGGAATTGTAAGTTGTTAATTGAATTCTTGGCGTAAGTTTAGTAGAGAAAGTTTTGTGGCGCTTCAATCTGCAGAACTTTGAACCGGTTAGTATCACCTTCCTATACACATGGAGTATTTGAAACATTAACCTAGCACAAAAACAGAGAACACACCAATGTCTTATGTATTGTACTCATTAGCAGCGAGAAACCTCATGTTTGCTATGGTTAGCGGTGGACTTGATATACCACAAACAATTGGAGTAGTTAGATACAATGCCAAATTCTAGCCATGATCACTATACTGTTGTGAAGTGGATCCTTCATTTTCTGAGGGGAACATGTGATGTTGATATTTGTTATGATGGGATAAGATTTGAAAGTTACTGGTTATGTTGATGAACATTTTGCAAGTGATTATTATATGAGAAGGTTCATTGCTAGGTATTTTTTTTCCTTGGCAAGTGGTGCAATTAGTTGGTTGTCTATCCTACAATCTATGGTGGCTTTGTTCTACTACAAATACTGCGTACACTCACTCATGCATCCGCAAAGTAGTTTTGCTAAAAGGGTTACTTGGAGAGTTTCAAGTTGTGCAATAAGGGATATACCTTCATTGTGATGGCTAAATGACTTTTTTTTAGTGAGAAATCCAACTCTCAATCATAGGCATAAATATGTTGAATATTTTGTTGTAAAAAAGTTTATAACTCAAGAAAATTTAGTGGCAGTGTTCAAAAAAGTGAACTGCTCATCGCCTAGGCTGTTTAGAAGGCTTGGGCGCATCGCCTTGGCGGGCCCAGCGGCTAGGGCTTGCACCCCTCCTAGGGGCAGAATTTTTTTTTTTTTTTCGTTGTATTGATTTTTTGAAATAAAAAGGGTTTGAAGGATGGATTTTTGGTTCATTTCAATCCTAAACCCACAAGAACCTATTTTAGAGAGAAAGAAACCTCAAAAAAAATAAATTTTGTGACTTTCATTAGATCGAAGTGTTTCTCAAAGTTACAGAAAGTGGATCCAAATATCACCCAGGTAGATTTGATTTAGTTTTGGAGTTTTATAATCCTATTAAAGGGTGTTCTTTATTATTTTAGCACCAGAAAACATCTCAGAGGTGGGTGTTCTTCTTCAGGATGTTGTCGAAGTGGAGATCTTGGTTGGAAATATGGATATAACCCGAATCCAATTTGTGAAAAAGATATGAAAGTGGCCATAAACCGGTTTAATAAATATCTTAACAGTATTAAGGGGGATGTTGCCCCATGTAAAAATGTTCCTAAAGCTATCAAAGAGGAGATTAAGCAATATATGAGTTTTGTAAAACAAAAACAAGGAACAAAATCCTTGTCATTTGAATAGGTTTATTTCTGCTACTTCTATAAGAAGTGATCCGGGTTGGAAGTATGGTCATAACCCAAAACCAAACGATAAAAATTGTATAAGGTGTAATTTTTGTGAAAAAGATACAACGGGGGTAGTAACTGATTCAAGAAACATCTTGTCGGTATTAAAAGGAATGTTGTTTCTTGTAAAAAGGTTCTTGAAGCTATTCGGGATGAGATTAGACAACTTTTGAAATTAAAAGAACCAGAAGGTGATGAAAATGAGCCTTGTTCTATGGAAATATCTTCTCCAGGTTCTTCTAGAAGTGGTGATCCAGGTTGGAAACATGGTTATAACTTACTCCTTTTATTTTTCTACAGTTTTTCTTCTGACCTGGTTTCTAACCCCTTCACCTTTTATCATGTGGTAAGATCACAATGAATAGATATTGACCAACATGGATATCATATATGCAAATGATGCCATGTTCCATTGAAAGGGACAAGGAAATCATTAGTTTTCTTCATGCATTTCTTTCTTTTATTTATGAGGTGATTGTCTTTCCAAGAATACAGCATTTGGAGCGGCTAAATCTGACAAGCAATTTTATGGGTCATTTCCAATTTCATGTTTGTATCCATTTTTCTCACTCACATTTTGTATAATTTGATGCAGTGTATTTATGCTTATAAATTAGTGGAATGCATATACGGGATTTGGTACACCTCGATTGATGGATAGGTTGTCAATTGCAGGACCATGTCTCAAGTTCATATGCCACCACTGACAAAAAAAACAAAATTGGCAAAATGCGAGCAGTGAATGACAACTGTACAAAATCAGTAGAGAATTCCACGTCTGGAAAGGAGTGTTTTCATGCAGTCTCCAGAGTGCCAACCATTCCAGAAGGAACATATTATGCTAGGAGGGAAGGGGGAGATGCAAAGGCTGACTCCTCCAAGCCTTTACAATCGAAGTGGACTGGAAGGTCAGTGACATATTTTTGGAGTCCTGAATTTGGTGGATGATTGATTGTTTTTTCTAATATTTTAAACTGTCTTACGAAATACAGGAGACTGTTGCCATCATCCTCTGTTTTTAGGGATTTGGATTGCTTGGATATGGAGGACGAGGTCCCAAAGGTTCTCCCCTCTCTCTCTCTCCCTCTCCAAATGGGACTCGTTTGTTTATATCTTACAGTGCAACAAAACATACTGCTGACATAAGACTTATGGTTTGTGTGGTCGACAGGTGAAGAAGCATGGTAATAATAAAGTAAGGGCAGATGAAAGGCTAGGGACCCAGGGAAGGGCAGCACTTGTGAGAATGCTGAGAGGCAACCGTCCAATATGATTGTTCTTGTTAAGTTACACCGCTTGTAACAGTGTTTATAAAATGCCAAGGGAGTATCCACAAGGGCACTGTCAGAGTTCTTGTAAGGTCCCCGTAATTTCCTTTTATTTTGGAAAAATCATGGATCTCAATAGAATCACAGACATTTTAAAACAGCTACGTCGACCTCTTTTTCTATCTCACTCTAATGAAGCCGTCCTTTCTACATCGACCTCTCTCTCTCTCTCACTCACTTTAATAAAAGCTGGGTCAGATAAACTATTTAGAGATAACTTTTTTCTAGGAAAATTGTTTGGTGCTTTTGAGCTTACACCGTCGACCAAAATTGGGTCTTGTAAACAATAGTCCTCGAAGGAAAAAGTAAAATCAACGGTTCAAATATTTTCTCCAAAAAGCATCATTTTAGTTTTTAAAATTTAGCTATTTTTACAGATTAATAACCTCCATGTTAAAAAATATATAATTCCTTAAAGTTAAGATCCATTTCAAAAAGAGAAGTTGGTCATAACTCAGCGTTATTTGCTTTGGTGTCTCATGTGAGTTTGGGCTTTGGGTACGTTCCTCTACATTATTTTTGTTCTTGCAGCATCGTTTTATCCACGTCATTTTAGTCTCTTTTTTGCGTTTTTGCATGCCGCTTTAAGCATAATTTCCTTATGGACACAATATGTTATATTCTGGGGCGGTAATATTACATTATGAAGTTCTAGTAATTATTTTATGGACCATAAAACTTATATACTTTTCTTTATCTAACCGTCCATTTTAAATGGAGGGTTAAGATTGTTTCAATCACAATGTCATGTCTCTACACTATTTTATTTTAATTTTTTTCTCTATAAACTATTTTGACACGATATTTTGGACATCCAATCCTTTATTAAACTTGCACTAGCAATAAATATAAAAAAAATATTTTCAATAAAATAAAATGATCAAAATACTTTTGAAAGCTTTAAGGGGTATTTTGGTTATTATATTTTATTGAACAATTATTTTAAATATTTTTTATAGGTGCACTCCAATGAGAAGATGGTATATATCGATTTTATATTCATACAATTTGTATAAAAAAAATTAAAAATAAAATACTTTGAGACGTTGGATCCAAGATCAAATAGTGAGATTCTCTTGATCAAAATTGGATCACTGGATGGAAGAGAGATGGTAGAGAAAGCATAGATCTTCTATGCTATAGAGGAAGTATAGAAACCGTTCCCTTTTTTTATTTTCTGGTGTATACATGAACATTTTTAAAAGAGCAACAGTAGCACGTGCAGATTTGTACGTACGGAGTATGCGAATGTATATGTGTGCACAAGGGCTAAATCTGCATGAAATTTTGAAATAATAATTTTTTTTTTTTATTCACGATATGAAATAATTAGAAACATCAACTTTATATCAAACGTACAGTCACTGTGGAGGTGCATATCATTTGGATCATTTTCAGGGCAGGAATTCAGTTTTGGGACCTAAGCAGGCTTGGACCACTTGAAAGGTTAAACAGAACCATCTTATATATTTCTCGTAATAGGAAAAATTGCTCCCTTAGATAAATCTTGAATTCATTGTCAAAAAAAAAAAGAGAAGGATAAATCCCGAATTAATAATAACCTTGCAGTCCCTTTGATGAATACCGAATTGAAACATAAAAAGTACATGAAAATTGACACATGGTTTAATTAATGGGAAATGGTTCTATGTTTCCCCTACGGCATAGAAGTTCCATCCTCCCACTACCATCCAGCCGTTCAATTTTGATCAAGAGAGCTACTTACTATTTGATCTTAGATCCGGTGTTTCAAAGTATTTTATTTTTAGTTTTTTTTGTACAAATTGTATAAATGTGAAATTTGGTATGTGTCATCTTTTCATTGGGGTGCATCTATAAAAAAATATTAAAAATAATTTTTTGATAAAATATAATGGCCAAAATACCCTTTGAAACTGTCAAAGGTATTTTGATCATTTTATTTTATTGAAAATAATTTTTTTATATATTTTTGGCTAAGTTTAATAGAGGAATGGACGTCCTTAGTTTGGTGTTAAAATAGTTTATAGAGACCATTACGATTAGGACAATCTTAACCCTGCATTCTGAATGGATGGTTGGATAAAGAAGAGGATAGAACTTCTATATTGTAGGAGAAGCATACAAAACTTACCTTGGGGGTGAGATTGAATATATGGAAAGATCCATTTATTGATTTGCTCACCCGTACCATACTCCGGTTGGAGCAAATTGTACTTTTGCTATCTTGGGTAAGATGGCCGTAGTGGAGGAAACAAAGGATTGATGCCAAATTTTGGGAATTACCTTCGAATAACTAGATGAGTAATTTGGAAAAAGAAAAAAAATAATTGTTTTAAAAAAAAAAAATGGACGGCATGGATTCAAACTTGGGGTGAGAAGGTTTTCCTGAATTATTGGTTGCTTGAGATGAGGTCACAAAAACTACAAAATTTAGGGGCCAAATAATATACCTGGCTAGTTTTATGCCCGAAGGAGCAAGTGTGCAACAAATTGCTTTCATGGGATGTTCAGACTAAAGTTTTTCCTAGAGAAAGAGTCATCACTACCTTTCAATCTGAAATCATTCATGATATAACCGTTAACCAGAGACTCAGGAGATACAAGGGACTTTTAGTGGTGTTGGAGAGATGGTCAGCACGGAAATGGCCCTCAAACATTAAGCTTCAGCTCATCTGGGTGTGTTTTTTGGGAGTACCTCTTTATGCATCGACTAAGGGCGTCTCTCTTTTTAGCGAGGGAATATGGAAGTTTCGTAGAGATCGACTGGAAGGCTTTCTCTTTGGAGCAAGCAAAATAATTCCACAGCTTATTACAAAAGATAGGGAAGGATGAATTATCCCATTAAGGTCCACAATCTCTCCAGTTAACTATTTCAATTTCTCTCTACCTCTCTCCATTTAATTAGTTCAATTTCTCTCTCTACCCCAAGAAGCAACACGCGACATGCCACTTTGGAAAGAGAGCCATGTCTTTTATCAAGCAATCTGTGTATTAAGGGGGAGATAATTTTTAAGCAAAAAATTTGATCAAGTTGATGAGTTCCAAGCTGACAACAAATATATAATGCAAGCAATGGAGCTTGGAGTTCTTAATTAAAGGCATTTTGGAGAAAAAAAAAAAGGGCATTAAAAAAGAAAATTTGGGGAGTTTTTTAAATACTCGAAAAACAAGAATTTCCCGTTTTATTCTTATTTGATTCAATAACAGCTTTGGTTGAAAGTAAAGTAGTCTATGCAGATTATTCTATTTCTTTCTCAACAAAAATATCATGCAGCACCCTGCCTTGTATAGACTACAAATAAGGATATGAATAAAGGTTAGGAAAATTTATTTTAAGACTATTAGACAAAGTCTGAACACTATCGTCTTATTTAAATCGAATAAAAGTGCATTTGCTACATTTGAATATTGGGGTTCTTAGCTAAATTTTAAAAGAAAGGTGCGGATTTCCATGGGACCCAGTTCCACAACCAGAGTCTCTACATTGATGGGACCTCCTTTAATTGAAGGCCCAGGTTTCTCCCCACCATCATCGCCTTCCACTCTCCACTGCATCTTCCTCATCTCAGATTTCTCTTGGTTGGTAGATAGGCTTGTCTCCCTCACTTCATTTATCTGAAAATGCAGAACCATATACACATGCACATTCATGCAATTTCTTCATGAAAATGCTCGTGATTTCAATATAAAAATATTGATGATGTGAAAATGGGACTAGCCTCGTAAGAAAGATGTACAAGGTTCCATCCCCATACAATGTCCATTGAAACAAAAAGACCGACACTTTTGTTGAAAGGTGATAGAAAAATCACATGATAGATGTTTTTGTCTTTTATCATTTGTTTGGGGGCTTTTTGGCCACTGTAATTAGGTGGCTTGTATAAAAGCAAAAAACAATGGGGTTTTTTATTATACACGATTCTTCTTGTTCTTGGGTTGTGTTGAGAAAGGGAAGGAGGTCAAGAAGAATTTTCTTGTCTTATTTTTGGGAGAAATAGTATGAGCGCGTGTTGCTCATGTTATTGGGTTATCCGAAGTGAAGCAGGGTAAATCGTGTTTTTTTGGATAATCACGAGGAAGGTATTTTTGGTGATTTTTTTTCATCAATTTTCTCCTTTTAAGGTAACACTGTATCCTTTTGTAAATTTCTCTTTTGATAGTGGAATACTTGCCGGCTTGCCCGTAGACGTAGCCCTACGGGGTGAACCACATTAAAATGGTGTTGTGGTTTGTCTCTCTAATTTTATCTCATGACTATGTTTTCCATCTCTAATTTATTTTCTTAAATTGTTGCACACAATCCTTGACCTTATTATTGGATCATCGATTTTACATATTTGGGATTGAGTGTGTGATATTCCGTGATCGGTTAAATTGGGGTTTTGGGAATTCGGATCTTCAACAAGTGGTATCAAAGCATTAGGTTTTGTGCAATATATTTTGAAAAATGGCGAGTAATCGGTTTGAGGTGGAGAAATTTGATGGACAAAATGATTTTGAGATATGGAAATTCAAGTTCATGATCTTTTGGGATTTTGAGATATGGAAAATTCAAGTTCATGATCTTTTGGTCCAACAAAGGTTATACAAAATATTACTCGGAAAGGAAAAGAAACCGAAGTCTATAAGTAATGAGGATTGGGAGGATATGGACCTTAAGGCTATGGCTACAATTTGATTGTGCTTAGCAAATAAGGTTTTATTCAATATAGTGGGAGAGAAGACGGCAAAGGGCTTGTGGGAGAAATTGGAAAGTGTTTATCAAAACAAATCTCTTACGAATCGTATTCTTTTAAAGAGAAAATTGTTTAGTTTAAGGATAAAAGAGGGGACAAAAGTTTCCGATCATTTGAACACTTTCAATAACATTATTTGTGAACTTGATAGTGTTGGTGAAAAAATGAAAGATGAGGACAAGGCGGTAAGTTTGTTATGTACTTTACCGGAATCTTATGATAATTTAGTGACAACATTAAGTTGCACTAAAGAAGATTCACTTGACTTAAGTACGGTGACTAATACTTTGCTTGTCCATGAACTCTGAAAAAAGGCATCTATTGGGGAACCGGAATCGAAAGTGTAATTTTCAAAGGATCGTTCAAATGAGAGAGGTAATTCCTCTCGAAATTTTCTAGATCTAAGTCGAAAGGTCAATCTAAGTCTAAAGGTTGAGAAAACAAGTTTGTTTGTTGGGGATGTGGTGAAGCGGGACATATGAAGAAAAAAGTAGAGGACAAAAGTTCGAAATAGCAAGGGAAACCAATGAGTCCAAAAATGAGGTGAATCAAGTGGAGGAATCTACATCCGGTTTTATTGAAGAAGAGGTTTATGCTGTGGTAGCAATCCCGAATTCCATCAAAATTGCATTTTGGATAGTGGTGCTACACATCATATGTATCCGCACAAGTCATGGTTTAGTTCATATGAACCATGTGATGGTGGTTCTTGTTGATGGGAAACAATTCAAATAGTAGAATGGTTGGGATTGGCACAGTGAAATTAAGGATGTATGATGGAAGTACCTGTACACTTGAGCATGTTTGACATGTACCGGACTTGAAGAAAATTTTAATTTCTCTTTCTTTATTGGATTCCCATGGCTATAAATTCACCGGACTCAAAGTACCTAAGGGTGCTCTTGTTATGATCAAGGGTGTTCGAATTGGGAACTGTATAAGCTATTGGGAAGCTCCATTGTTGATGATGCGGCAAATTCGATAATGGAGAGTAATGATCTTCAATTACGCTTATGGCATAAGAGGTTGGGCTACTGGAGTGAAAAGGGTATGGAGATTTTGATGAAGAGGAAGCTAATTCCGACCATAAAATTTGGGGAATCCGAATTTTGTGAGCATTGTGTCTATGGGAAACAACATAGACGAATTTTTAAAGCCGAAAGCCATACAAGCAAGAGAATACTTGATTATGTTCACTCGGATTTATGAGGGCCCTCACCCATAATGTCATATGATGGTGCATTATATTTTATTTCTTTTATAGATGAGTTCTCAAGGAAAGTATGGGTGTTCACTCTTAAATCAAAGAGTGATGCATTTTTTGGTCTTTAAGCATTTTAAGGCCGAAGTTGAAAGAGTACGGGGCGCCACATCAAAACACTTCGCACCGACAATGGGAAGGAGTACAATTCCGATGAGTTACAAATTTTGTAAAGATGAAGGAATCAAGAGACATTTCACCACGGTTTACACTCCTCAACAAAATGGTGTTGCAGAAGGATGAATCGCACATTGATTGAGAGAGCAAGAAGCATGTTGAGCAATGCCGGATTGGAACCAGGGCTATGGGCTGAAGTCGTGATGACGGCTTGTTATCTCATCAATCGATCACCTTTGACGGCTTTAGAAGATAAAACACCCCAAGAGATATGGTCCAGAGCTCCTTGTGATTATTTCAATTTAAAGATTTTTGGTTGTGATGCTTATGTTTGAATTCCTAGTTGCCAAAGAAATAAGTTTGAACCAAAATAAAAAAAATGCATTTTTGTTGGATATAGCAAAGGTGTGAAAGGATACCGGTTATGGGATCCGAGTGCTCGAAAGATAATTACAAGCCGAGATGTGTATTTTGATGAGTCATCCGTGTTGACAAGAGATGTAGAAAATGAGATTAAAGAAAGGAAAGAATCTCATAATGACACCCAAGAAATTGATTTTTCACCTTATGTCCCATCATCTAGTGAAGACCATATGCTAGAAGCAGCACCCACAAGTATCAATGAAGAAGTCATTGATGAAGAAGAGCAAGTTGGTGAACCAAGTGATTCCCATGAAGAAGTTGCACCGTCCATGACAAGAAGGTCTACAAGGGTAATTCGTCCACCGCGAGCGGTTTAGGGACTATGTGGATCCTGAAGTACTATATGCTTTGGTTGTTATGAATGAAGAACCGAGCACTTACCAAGAAGCTATGGAAGGGGATGATTCCATATCTTGGAAGAAGGCCATGGAAGATGAAATGTTAGCTCTTCATAATAACAAGACTTGGGATTTGGTGGAGTTGCCAAAGGGTAGAAAAGCGGTTGGTTGCAAGTGGGTGTTCAAAATCAAGAAAGGGATTGATGGAAGTTTAGAAAGGTATAAGGCAAGGCTAGTTGCAAAGGGGTTTGCACAAAAGGAAGGTATCGATTTTCTTGAAATATTTGCCCCGGTTATCAAGTTAGTCTCCATAAGGTTGATGCTTGGGCTTATTGCATTGCATGATTTGGAACTTGAACAAATGAATGTAAAAACGACATTTTTACATGGTGAACTTAAAGAAGAAGTGTACATGCAACAACTGGAAGGATTTCTTAAAAAGGAAAAAGAAAGGTTAGTGCGCAAGTTGAAGAAATCCATATATGGATTCAGGCAAGCATCAAGACAATGGTACAAGACTTTTGACATGCTCATTATGACCATTGTGTTTATATGAAGTTTTCTTATGATGGTTCTTATTTAATCTTAGTCTTGTATGTTGATGATGTGCGTGTGGCATGCAAGAATAAGACTAGGATTTATGGTCACAAGGCATCTTTGAGTAAGAGTTTTGAAATGAAAGATCTCAAGCAGACAAAACAAATACTTGGAATTGAAATCCAAAGAGATCGACGGGGTGGGACTGTCACTTTCACAAAAGAGTTTTGTGGAAAAGATGCTTGAAAAGTTTGGCATGAGCACAGCAAAGCCGGTGAAGACTCCATTAGCTCCTCATTTTAAGTTGTCTTCTAAGCAAAGTCCGAAGACCGTGGATGAAAAAGAGAATATGACTAAGGTGCCATATGCAAGTGTTGTGGGGAGCCTAATGTTTGTCATGGTGTGTACTAGACCGGACATAATATATTCGGTTGGTGTCTTGAGTCGCTTTATGGCAAATATTGGAAAAGCTCATTGGGAAGGTGCAAAATGTGTGCTTTGTTATTTGAGAGGCACGAGTGATTATGCCATGATGTTTAGCAAAGGCTCGGGGCAGATTCAAGGCTATATTGATGCAAATTATGCCGGTGATCTTTATAGAGGAAGATCAACTACCGGCTATGTTTTCAAGTTTGGAAATGGGACGATAAGTTGGATGTCTAAGCTTCAATCAATGGTGGCATTGTCCACCACCGAGGCAGAATACGTGGCAGCAACCGAAGCAAGCAAAGAAGCGGTTTGGCTTCAAGGCCTTATGAGAGAATTGGGTATCAATTCTAGGCCCATGGAAATACTTTGTGATAATATAAGTGCCATTAATTTGGCTAAGAATCTCGTTTACCACAAGAGGACGAAGCATATACTAGTTCGATACCATTATGTTCGACAAGTTGTTGAAGATGGTTTAGTTCGTTTGGTGAAAGTTGGAACCAAGGAAAATGTAGCTGATATGCTCATGAAGACGGTTCCAATAGAGAAGTTGGAATGGAGCCTACTTTCTCCAGGCTTCACGAAGAAGTAAAAAGAAGATTATCGGCAAGGCAAGTAGGTGATTTACTATCAAGGTGAAGATTGTTGAATGGTGATAGAAAAATCACATAATAGATGCTTTTGTCTTTTATCATTTGTTTGGGGGCTTTTTGGTTACTGTAATTAAGTGACTTGCATAAAAGCCAAAAACAAAGGGGTTTTTTATTATACACGATTCTTCTTATTCTTGAACTCCTCTCTCTCTCTAGAAAATGGGCTAGGGCTTCTTAGGTTGTGTTGAGAAAGGAAAGGAGGTGAAGAAGTAATTTTTTTGTCTAATTTTTGGGAGAAATGGTATATGAGCATGTGTTGCTCATGTTCTTAGGTTATCCAAAGTGAAGTGGGTAAATCGTGTTTTTTTGGATGATCACAAAGAAGGTATTTTTGGTGATGTTTTTTTCATCAATTTTCTCCTGTTAAGGCAACACTGTATCCCCTTGTAATTTTTTCTTTTGATAGTGGAATACTTGTCGGCTTGCCCGTGGACGTAGCCCTACAGGGTGAACCACGTTAAATTTGTGTTGTGGTTTGTCTCGCTAATTTTCTCTCATGACTATGTTTTCCATCTCTAAGTTATTTTCTTAAATTGTTGCACACGATCCTTGAGCTTATTATTGGATCATAGATTTTACATACTTGGTATTGAGTGTGTGATATGCGGTGATCGGTTAAATTGGGGTTTCGGGCATTCAGCTCTTTAACAACTTTCGAAACAAGACCAAAAAACTCTTTCTAATTACAGTGTTAAGAACCATACCATCCTTCCTCTGAAAATCTTTCTCAGTTCTACTTTGGCCATTTTTGAGTACTCGACATCTTCTTCAGCCTAATTAAATATACAACATTGAGATATGAACACAAGAAGTTGATAGTTTTACTATTTGTAGAAAAAATCGACACCAGTTATTGACCCTAATGTACCTCGTACAGATGAGCCAACCGGAGAAGCACACTTCCATCTTCCAATTCCTATAAAATAATTCAAATTTCTCAAGTTACATTAAGGAACTAAGTAATTGGTTTCTGTAGTCTGTAACTATGAGAGAATTCCTCTAAGATTCACCTGAAGGGTAATAATTGCAACATTTGTCGGAAGAACATAGCCAGTATCCATAAGTGTTGCCTTTGTGATGTGGGAATGTTTCCATTTTTGCTCTTCCTGTACGATTATTTATCTCATAAGAAACACAAAAAAGGAGAAGGAAACTTGTGACTCTTGCATGCCCGGTTAATTAATCTGATTGTACCTCGTGAGTAAAAGCTAAGAGAAGTGGTGAGTAAACTTTTTGACCGGTTGTTCGACGCCATCGTGCTCCTGACCCTAAAGGGTCAATACTCATGTAATAATGTCCTCGAACCTAGAAGAGAAGAATCACAAAAAACAAGTTATGGATATCAATGCGATAGTGCACTAAATAAATCTTTCAAATTTCATAAATTTGTTAGTGAGTCTAGACCAATGTTATCAAATTCTCTTTGCTTCGGTCGAAGTGTTCGAATTTTTGGCCTAGATCCAAGAGAAGCAAAGCTCCGGTACATCTGCTTCAGCTTGCTTCGGGCCACTTCGTCCCTCTTTGGTTTAATTCAGCATCTTTGGCCGAAGCTTTGGCATGCTTCAATCAAAGCACAAAGGCGTAAGTTTTTTTGAAAAACTAATTTTTTATTTTATTTTTTTGAAATTTTTATTTTAGAAATTTCTAGTATTTTAATATACTTTTATGCATAAATATATACCTTATGTATTACAAAGTGTTTCAAAAATTCCAAAGTCTTCCACCAAATCGGCCGAGCACCGAATTGCTTCGTTTTTTTTTACCAAACCAAAGAAAGCTTCGAAGAGAATCTGACAACACTAATCTAGACACCCATACCAATCATTTTCGACAAGTAAACTACATGAGCCGAAATCCAAAAAATGATTATCCCTAGTGAGGCAGATTTTTCTTATGAGAGTTTTGAAAATTAATAATAGAGAAGACCCCTATTAACTCGTCTTGTTAAGAAATCTCTAGAATGAAATAACCGTAAGTAAATTTTTTAACTTGACAGAAATCAGAACGGGAGCCCTTTTTGTTGGGCATGTTGCACAAAATTTGAAATAATGTAGCATACTTGGCCAAAAAACAACTTCTGGACAACAATTGAAAACCCTAGATCTCACTTATGCAAAGTATGACTTCTGAAAAACTTGGTAAGGAAGTCATAGCACCAAGACCCATCAAACAATAAAAAAGGCTAAAAACATATTTATTTGCACTAGATTTACAAAGATTCAGCTTTGACTTCTTGAATGAAGGAAAGTAGAGATTTCTGTTAAATAACCTCTACTTTCTTAAATTCTTGCATGAAAGAAATAACTTTAGATACTCAGACTATCACTAAAGATTACCAAAAAGACTTCCATTTTCTCTGACATTGACACTTAACTTCCATTTTCTCTGACATTAATACTTAATTTGACATGATATTTTGTACTTGAATTAAACTCTTTCTCTGTTGTAATTAAGAGTCAAATAGTTAGATTCTCTTATTTTCTCTATAATGAATCACTGTTTATTTGCATTGTTCTATATATTTGAGTTCTAAGCAGTAATAACCACACAATCAAATTCATTTTTGTACCCATTATGTAGCTCTCATTTGAATCATCTCACTGCCAAAACAATAGCACAATCGATCATAAAAATAATCAAGCAACCAAACACCATCTTAGCAAAATTAAAGTTCAAATACTTATGCAGCAAAAAGATACACAATGAAATTTCAGGAATAACAATCAACTATTTATACAGTACACACCGTCAGTCCCTCGCAAAAATCTTCCATGCAAACATTCTCATCAAGTGCTTCTCCAACTCCTCGAGAGTCATCGAAGATCATACGTCTATGGTAAAGAAAAACAATAATCACTATTATCATTTAAAGGAAATCATCAGCCTATACAACACAATGAAGCGAAACTAAAATCCCCTATGATTAAAAGAACGATAAGGTCTAGATATGAAACCTGTGAAGCATAATTTCAAGTTCGCCATCTCGAATACTTGCACCGCCAGTGGCTCGATCTACCAATATCGAGAGCTCTGACTTATCATCCTCCATAAATATTCCAAGATTAAGCTGAAGAGTTACCCATAGAACAATGTTACAGCAAAAACTTTTCATGAGATATTTAAATCAAAGTTTCTTTAAACGATATAAATTAGTGAAATAACCATATAAATATTAAGGGACGCGTAAAAACATTATTTATGAGCAAATAATCCATATAAGAAGGGGACCCAGACAAATAATGCTTATATTGAGATAATATCACATGAACAATGTTTATTCACTAAGCACAGAAGACATTATGACCTATGAAAACCACTGTACTATATTAAGGTAGACAATGTCAAGTCTTACATAGGCAACAAAGTTATTGCCATGTCAATGAAAATGTAGATATTTTGATTCATTAAGCAAGGAAAAGAGAAATGAAAATAGTAAGTACCGCTGACTCCAAAACCTCTAACTTGGTGAACTTTGAGGCATTTAGTAATTGGTGCAATTTGGAATGAGTTAAAAAGCCATGGATGATGTATGCCAGTGAGCTATGCCAGGAAGCATATAAGACAGATTGCTAATGCTTTTTGTAAACTTCAGGCATCATCTCTCCACCATATACAAATTGTAAGCATCAGTTAGAACCCCAGACCGCAGCCACAAGCAAGAGTTAAACTCAGGTGTCATTTTTAGGGACAGTATTGATGATATGAAATTATACATGAGCTTTCGAAACATTTTGAGGGTATATTAATGTATATCAATGTATCTTAGGCACTCTATATTACATTACTTAAGAGTTGGTTTTGGAGTGGTATTTGTGTGACAGACATTGTTCATAAAATGCCCCCCCCACTTAGATACATTTATTTCATATAACTACTTTGTCTTATATTTAAACTTGTCATACACTTATTTTCAGACTAATGATAATTGTAAGAAAAATGCTCCTTCTTGATAACCTCAATAATTGCAACTCTGACACATGTGCTCCTATAATCAATATACTTGCAGTGTAAATATTTATTTCATTTCGAAAAATTATTATAACTAAAATTTCTGCCTTAAAATAAGGTTGTTATTCTAGGTATTTTATTGCCAAATAGTTCTCTCTCTCTCTCTCTCTCTCTCTCTCTCTCTCTCTCTCTCTACTCTACTTAGTACTTACGTACGTTACGTACTCGTACTACGTTACGTTACGTACGTTACGTACGTTACGTTACGTACGTTACGTTACGTTACGTTAACGTTAACGT